GTACCGCAGCGCTGAATACTGAAAAATGGCCTGGATGGGAAGGGGGTTTAACACCGCGGATGTCAACTGGTTAAGGAAAAGACATTTTCAAAAATAAAACACGCAAGAAAGTTAGTGTTACTGATCTTTAAAAGAAAAGGTGCTGAGTGAAAAAAGTTAAGAGTTGTAAAACTATAAGTATGCCCACAAGAAATTAAAGGTCTATAATTTGTATCATAGGTGAAGGGTATCATTTGTATCATAGGTGAAGGTTTTCATTCATCCAGGTCATGGTATATCTGTAAAAAAAAATTACATATACATGATACAAATGTTATAAATGGAGTTGCAGTACAGTGAGTAAAATAAGTATTTGATCCCCTACCAACCAACAATAATTCTGGCTCCCACAGACTGGCCATGTGGTAAACAGATTAGTCCTGTCAATTTAAGAAGGTGCTCCTAACGACAACTCGTTATGTATATAAAAGACACCTGTCCACAGAATCTCTTTCTTCCATTCAAACCTCACCACCATGGGCAAGACCAAAGAGCTGTCAAAGGACGTTGGGGACAAGGTTGTAGACCTGCACAAGGCTGGAATGGGCTGCAAGACTATCAGCAAGAAGCTTGGTGAGAAGGAAACAACTGTTAGAACGATTAAGCTATCCATTTGCGAATAATTATTCGCAAATGGAAGGAATACAAAAAAATCGTCAATCGCCCTCGGTCTGGAGATCCATGCAAGATTTCGTCTCAAGGGGTGAGAATGATCATGAGAAAAGTGAGGGATCAGCCCAGAACTACACGGGAGGAGCTTGTGAATGATCTCAAAGCAGTTGGGACCACAGCCACCAAACAAACCATTAGTAGCACAATACACCGCCATGGATTGAGATCCTGCAGCACCAGCAAGGTGCCTCTCCTCAATAAGGCACATGTGCAGGCCCGTCTGAAATTTGCCAGTGAAAATCTAAATGATTCAGAGAAGGATTGGAAGAGGGTGCTGCAGTCAGATGAGACCAAAATTGAGCTCTTTGGCATTAACTCGACTCGCCGCGTTTGGAGGAAGACAAATGCTGACTATGACTCTAAGAACACCATCCCTACAGTCAAGCACGGAGGTGGAAACATTATACGTTCGGGCTGTTTCTCTGCTAACTTTGCCGCATTGAAGGGCCAATGGACGGGGCCATGTATTGTAAAATCTTAGATGAGAACCTCCTTCCCTCAGCCAGAACACTGAAGATGGGTCGTGGATGGGTCTTTCAGCATGACAATGACCCAAAACATACCACCAAGGCAACAAAGCAGTGGCTCAAGAAGAAGCACATTAAGGTAATGAAGTGGCCTAGCCTATAGAAAATGTATGGAGGGAGCTGAAACTTTGAGTTGCCAAGTGACAGCCAAGAAACCTTAAGGATTTAGAGAAGATCTGTAAGGAAGAGTGGACCAAAATCCCTCCTGAGATGTGTGCAAACCTGGTAACCAACTACAAGAAACGTCTTACCTCTGTGCTTGCCAACAAGGGTTTCTCCACCAAGTACTAAGTCATGTTCTGCTTAGGGATCAAATACTTATTTTACTCAACTGCAACTCAATTTATAACATTTGTATCATCTTTTTTCTGTATTTGTGGTGGATTTTGAGTCTCTATCATTTAAAATACGCCAATGATAAAAATTATAGACCTTTTAATTTCTTTGTAAGTGGGCAAAATCTGCAGGGGATCAAATAATTATTTTCCACACGGTAGCAGGCTACTGCCCACTATTTGTGGACAGTGCAGAGCCGCGCTGCAGTCGGGAAGGATCATAACAATATTGTCAGGATCCACCCATCTGTCTGATTGACAGCTGACACTGCATCTCTCGAGCCAGCTGTGCCCGCCCCCTCCCCTCTCTGAGGGAGTGCCTACAGGGAAGGATGAGACAGTCACTGCTCCTCTACAGCTAGGAGACTGTCAAACTGAGCAATCAGTGGTTACATGATGGCTCAGCTCTTGGTATAGAGCTGGCGTCTGACAGCGGCAGAGTCCCACATCAGCTCTAGGTATTGAGAAGAAATATTTTACATACTCAATATTTCTCCTGTAAATATACCATACCAATGACTTTGTGCAACATGCTCTTTGAAAAAAATAGACGAGCATAGTTTGAGATAATCTTGCCAAGTATGGACAATTAAAAAAAATTACCTCTGAAACATTAAAGCATGGGTGAACATAGGAAACACTATGAATACAATTTTAGTTCACAAATGTTCCACAATTAAAAAACACCTTTTATATCAAAAGATAACCCATTTGTCACATACACCTGTTACGGGGTGATTACCAGCTTTGGGATATTGGGTAATTATTAAATCATTCTATTTGTTGTATATGGAAAGCAGTTACTTTACATGACTATCACCAAGTGTGCCTCATATAATATTACTTCCTTAGAAAATGGACATAGAATGGTCATTATCTGTCACTAATGAACTCTCTTTGCTGATGCAGGAAAGTTAGCAGACATTTCCTTGAGACTTCTATAGTCTGTCGACTGTCCATTTACAAGCATACAATTTATTGGAAAAGCTTTTTAGTTATTTGGCAGGTTAATGTACAAACAAACCATTCCAGTCACTTTCCCACTTTTATTATTGATTGCTCAGTATCGTCCAAGTCAAAATATTCACTGTGGGCGTACAAATACATGCTGTGCTGAAAAGCCTCTCTCCCATGTGATGAAAGAAGTGTCCACTGAGAGGCTGCCATCTTTTAGGAATAAACGCAGCTTTCAGCATGATTATAGCTTGCTGGTGACAATGAGAGATTATTAACGTAATGTGTTTTAAATTCAGAATGCAAACACATTAACAGCTGTGACTTATTTAACATTCACTGCTTCCACAAATCTAATTCTCCCATCATATTTCTGTATTTCGTTCAGACACCTCATGCTGTTAGATTCAAAACATTAGATGCTTGGTAAATTGGGAACAGAAGCCATCATGTTTTGTGTAAATAGGGCTTGTTACATAAATGTTGGCCTATTTATTCCAGTCATTAACAATAATTGAATTTTCAGAATCTCTCTAGTTTCCAGGTACCCTGATAAACAGGGAAAAACTTGCTAAAGATCTTCTTCTTCTTCTTCTTCTTCTTTTTTTTTTTTTTTCCTTGGCCCAATTTAACATCCCTAATGTATCCATCAATGCTGGGGTGAAATGATACTTCTCAGCATGAATCGCTGGTTAATAATTTATGATGCTCTCTCAAGGTTCTCTTCAAAAGGAATAAAAAGGGGGGCGGGGGGGCCTGGATATGGGTGAGGATCGAAAAAGACCATATTCAGGCGCGGAGAATGCTCATTGTCACATATGATTTGAGCAGTGTGAAATCTAACAAATTAGTCTAGACGAGTAATGGTATTCAACAAGGAGGAAAAAGTACCAGTTGCATTAAAATAATCATAGAAATGTGTCCTTGTAAAAAAAATAGTTGCATTTCTCTAATTAGAAAGAAAAAGGCTTATTACAACCAATGACTTCTAGTCTGACGTGTAAGTACTTGAGAAAGGAGATGTGGAGCAGTTGGCTAGTGTAACTTGTCAGATCCCTTGTCTCATTTTTCTTAGTAAATGATTGATGAAACTTGACTGTTGACTATGGGAAACAACTCTGCTATTCTAGGGATTACCACACTCGCAGATTTAAAGAACATGAACACAAATTTAGGTACTTTTCATCAGTTGCAATTGAAAATATACTTAATAAATACTTAACTTGATAAATACATACTTAACATCAGTTAAATAATAATAAGTTATTAATAAATAAATAATAAGGTTAAAAAAGACTGATGCCCATCATTTAGCTTTCACAACCCTTTCAGTTATACAGAGCAAGGCTTGTTACCAATTTTGCTACACAGGGAAAAAAATGATTTCCTAAACCCCCAAGGGCATTTGGTCAGTTCAGTGGTTCAGAATATTCAGCACAGTATGCTGCAGAGCAGTGTAATGCATCCCAACATGAATGGCAAAAGCATAGAACTAAAAAAGTTTGAGTTTGTGTTTTTCCCCCAGATTTTGCAGTCCCCCTGGCTGGTTTGGGGCAGCGTCCTGCAGATTTTTGTATTACATCCATCTCTTTTAAACAGACTTTGCACTCAATTGCATACTTTTAATTCTGGTGGAGCAGTCCCATTTGGCGCTTTTTTCTTGCATATTTTTATATTTAAAGTTTACATTATATTTGCCATTTAAGTACCCATATTGCCACTTATTTTGTATCTGCTGGAGTTCTGAAGTATAGGCTGGTCATACACCATGGAAACTTGTTTGTTCCCAATAGTCATAAACGTTGAATAACATTTTCTCATCTTACATCGACCTCCATTATTTAGGGCATGTTGGGAAATTCGCTATAGATTAGATGTAATCTGCGGAAAAAGCAATGAACAGTAGAGAAGCAGCCAACAGTGGAAATACATTGCGTATTGCCAGCAGTAGAAATATAGATTTCAAACAAAATTGTAAAGCAAAAAGAATAATTTGCTCACATAACAAATGCAGAAATGTACATTACTGGTAGTAGTACCAATTAAATCACGTACTCCTCATGCGTGTGGACCACTAGCTGGATCTCATAGAATTATTATTTTATTGCTGACTTCAGCTTATAAATGCTAGTTGCCTGGCAGTCGTGACTATAGTACTTTCTGGTTCACTAACCTGGCACAAGTATGCAGTGAAGTCAGAACTCCTGCTATGTACACTTATTCTTGGTCAGTAGCTTAGAAATGACTAAAGCACTGGATCTAAGTAGCTAGCATTGTCAGAGGGGGTGGTCAGCAAAGGTACCCTACTTGTTTCAGTACAGGTTTCCTTTTAAGCATTGCTTTTTCAGCCTTTTACAGGGGTAGGCCGGAGTTAAGTGGACAAAACTTGACGATTTCAACACGTGCAATTAGTTGCAATGGGATGATATGTGTTTGTTTGTTTTTTAATGTGTTTCCTATTATTGTGTTACAGGATGGAGGATTACTGATTAACAATCCATGTGCACTGGCCCTTCATGAGAGTAAGTGTTTGTGGCCAGACGTGCCACTTCAGTGTGTGATCTCTCTTGGGACAGGACGGTATGAAGGTGTGGGAAGCACCACAGCAACACACACAAGTCTTAAAGCCAAACTGACCAATGTGATCAGCAGTGCCACTGATACAGAAGGTGAGCATTTATTCTCCGGTATTTTCTTTTATTCTCTCTGACTTTATACGTTGTATCTTGTTTCAGCTGCCTGCTGCACAGGGTGAACAAATCACTGTGAGAATGACTGTATCTTTTCACTTAAGTTGAGAAAAGACTTCTGTCTATTTATTAATTATCAATTCACTTTCATCAATTTTTATCAAAATTAAATTAGTATACTATACATTGTTAAAAATAACTGTGGATACAGGGGCTGTAATAAAAGCACCCATACTTTTTCTGCCACTGACTTGTGACTGAGCATTTCACTCTTACCAGTGTTAATTTTGACAGCAAATTCAATATAGTTTTAGTCTTACAGGGTTATTATTCAGAAAATGGCGAAGAGTTTGGAGAAGGCAGGAGAAGTGAACAATCTAGGACAACATAGCTAAACTGGAAAGTGAGCTGAATTGGAGAATTTTTCCAAATCGGCTATTTTTTGTCCTAGATTGTTCACTTCTCCTGCCTTCTCCAAACTCTTCACCCTTTTGTGAATAACCCTGTTAATACCATTCAGTTTTAGTCATCTGAATTGTTTGTTTTAGTCAACTAAATATCATAAGAATTTAGTCGACTAAATCTACTGTAAATTTAGTCTACTAAAATCTGGTGGGTTTAGTTAAAGAGTAATTTAAGAATTTCTCTAGAATTCCCCATCTCATTTTATTCTACTGGAACAAACATCTGTTAACCTGTTATTACTTATGGTGTTAAGTTTGAACATGCAATACAGACTCAGATGTAACTGTTGTGATATATAGCATGTCTTTATCTTAGAATTAGATTATTCCAAGTCTTATGAAGATAACAATAATACTGAGTATTTGTAACAAACAAAGGACCAGTAATTAGATATCCATTAATTATAACAACTTGTATCTGACATTCTTCATTCTTTCAAGCAGAAGTGCAACTCTAAAATATTAAAATGAAAAACTTTATTGTCTGTAATGCCATTGCCCATATTATTTATTAGCCGTCCATTCAAGATGGAACCGGAACTGGAAGTCCAAAGAGTTTAATTCTGATTTTAGATCTCTTCCCAAATCTTCTCTCCCTAATATTTTAGTCTAGTTTTAGTTAGTCGACTAAAATGTCAATATATTTTCGTTATATTTTTAGTCATAACTTAGTTTTTATTTAGTTTTAGTCTATTTTTAGTCACTGAAAAATGTTTTCTTTACGAAACTATTAGTTGATGAAATTAACACTACTCTATAGAAATTCTTTATTTAATCAATAGAAATATTTCCTTTCCATATGTAATAGAAATATTTCCTTTCCATTTGTACACTTCCTGGAATAAAACGTTAGTTTGCCAGATATTTGTTGACATAAGACATATTGGTGCATCTCAGATAGATGACCTCCACGTTAGTGACACTAAACAAGGAGTTAAAACCTAAAAATTCAAGTACCCTAACTATTAACACAAATGTATCTTATTTGTGTATCACTCAGCTGTAGATCCTCAAATCATCTCTAAATTGGTGCTGACATTGTCCTTCCTTATGGAGGGTGCCGACTTTTTGTTCTCCATGGTACCTATGTGTTTGTAAAGTGTGTGCTGCAAGCTCATTTCTGTGATGGACTATAATCTCATGTTTAGTTGACTCATTTTAAATTAAGTTATTGAAGAATTCAGAGATGATTTGAGGTTCTACAGCTGAGTGATACACAAATAAGATACATTTCTGTTAATAGTAAAGGTACTTGAATGCATTTTTAAGATTTTAAGATGTTTAGTGTCACTTAAGCAATAGAACAGCCCTTCTCAACCTCTTTACTTAGGGTGTACTCTTGAAATAATTTTCTGGTCTCGGGTAAGCTCTTCCAAAAATAATCATACCTGCATCTACACCCACGGTGCCCCAGAGGGTGTGCCAACAAGAGAAGGTGGGTTTATATGCCAGCTACCGGAACCTGGATTTGGTGGTTGCTGCTTTCTTGGAGAACTGTTTTTAGGAACGCTTTGGACCTCTAACCAGTTTACCCTGTGTGCAGGTAGGAAATGTGAATGAACAAAAAAATAACACTTAGGCACCTTCCATAAAGTCATTATCAGGGTACTGGTGCTTTGGGATGAGCACCTTAAAGGCTGTGATACACTGCACACGACCTGCATGGGCCTTCGCGTGCAGTAAGTCATGCTTTTTCACTCCGGCATGTCCGTTTGCGAGAGATCGCATAGCTGACCGTGCCGAGATTAAAAATATCACCTTCAGCTAATCGGCTCGCGGGTATAAACCCCCGCGTCACGATACAAAGTCCATTCGGTTGTTACGAGCAACCCGATTAGCTGAAGATGCAGTCATTTATCTGGTCGCGCTCAGCTCGTACACTTCATGCCGATCTCCGTGCCTGACAGCTTTACTTTGCTCTGTACGGCTTCGCATGCAGTGTGTCACGGGCTTTATTGTTTGGGTAAACCCGTCTCAGCTCACCGGCTCACCAATTGCTGAAGGGCATGTAGGCTAGTATTAGCAGGTAGGCAGCTTGCTCATTGCCACTTTGCTATGGAGATACTATGCCTAATGTTCCAGTTGATTGGCTTTGGCAGGGTGTAGTAAGCATGCTGTTTTTTTTTGTTTTTTTTTATTTTTTTAAATCAGTGATTTGAAAGCCCATCCAGATAAATTTTTTTCATATACATTCAGAGAATGTCAGGTGATTGTGCAGGTAGGATAACATTAACCCTTTGGGGGGTTTTTTTGTTTGTTTTTTACAAAACTTATGCTGTTAGCTGATTTTGACGAATATCAGGAAAAGTAATTTTGAGTGGAAGAATGTAGGGTTCATATTCGCTAATTTTGCATTATGAATAGAATGGATGTTTCTGAGAATTTGTGGGTGAATGTTGGTTGATATAGCCAAATCTTGTATAGATATACCCCTAACACATGAGCATGTGGAAGAGAGCTGTTGTTTCTGTTCCTCCCCAATTCCCAAAAAGTTGGGACGCTGTGTAAAATCTACATAAAAACAGAAAGCAATGATTTGCAAATCTCATAGACCCATATTTTATTCACAATTCAATGTTTAAACTGAGAAAATTGATAATTTTAAGAAATAAGAAAGGTAATTTTGATATAGCCAATATGTCTGACTATTGCTCCCGCCCACTGTCCGCTATTTACATTCACCTGCCGGCTGTGAAATCTAGCCAGCAGATAAATGGGGCCATGGGAGAAGGGGGGTGCCACGGGGGGTTGTTTGAGAGTTGCTGTTAACTCCCAAGCAACCAGAAACTACAGTTATCCAGCATCTACTGATCCCCGTGGGTGCCAGATAACTGGGAGTTTATTATAGTTGCAAAATGTTCTTCCAGCTTTTCCTTGTTAGTACCACTTGCTTAGCCCGCTTTTTGTTATTGTGCCCCAATTTTTCTGAGACGTTTTGCTGCCATCAATTTTAAAATGACCTTATTTTTTTCTTAAAATGGTACATTTTCTCAGTTTAAACATTGGATATGTTTTCTATTTTCTATTGTGAGTAAAATATGGGTTTATGATATTTGCAAATTATTGCATTCTGTTTTTATGTAGATTGTTCACAGCACCCCAAGTTTTTTGGATTCGGGGTTGTATACCATGTAATGCTTTGGACGTTTAATGTTAACGGCAACCACTAGATGAAAAAAAATTGATGTCCTCCTTTACCGTTTTGGGCCTTTATTGGGAAGTCATTTTTTTTTTGGTGAAAAAAGTGCACAGGAATGAAGAAGTTGTCCATATGCATTTTATGGTTAATAACGATGTTTGTGCTATTTATGACAAACCCTGGCCCAGTCAAATGTAATATGTTCATAAGGAAATGCAACTTTAATATTGCTACGAAAATTGTATTAATCATAGTAATATCAGTGTAACTATCACATAGAAAAATGGGATTTGTATAGAAAATCACTGACATTTAAATGATGTCATATAATGAGCATGTTAATATCCAGGCATAGTATTTTTATTTTATTTTTTCAGTGGATTCCATTGTGACTGTTTCAGTGTTTCAGGCTAACAATAAGAGTGATGTCGAAGCTATTTTTAATCTGCTGATGTAGTCCTGTCCTGCCGGCTCAGCATATTCAGAAGTTGAGTGGATTGCATTTCTGAGCATGGCCAATATTTAATTCGGCTGAAACCTTACTCCAGTATGCATTGTGCATTGCAGAGCTGATTCAGGACTCTGCACTTTGGCTTTTAATAAGTGTTTTTTCATCAGTGTCTGTCCTGTAAACACCATAGCACCAAGGGAACTTATAGATTCAATAAAGCACATGTTTTATGCATTGAAGAGTGTAAACAGAACTATAATAATGATTGATGCATTGAAACGTGGGCTGAGCCAAAAGTAGACTAATCAAATGGCTAGTGTTGAGTTGATGGGAATGGGGTGGAACTTATAAATCCAGCTGAAAGCTCCCCGTGACGGAAAGAAAAGAGTCTGAGCTGTTGGCCTTTTCTTTAAAAAAAAACCTTTCTTTCTAAAAAAAAGGTGATGATGTTGAGGCCTAAGGCTTCCTCCTTGGGACAACCTTCCAAGGAAAAATATAATTCTAAAAATACTGTTTACAAGAAAAAATAAAAAAAAACCTACTACTACTAGGTGATGGTTACAAGGCATACCACCATATAACTGAGAGTACACAGAGAACAGCTCTAATGGGTGGGAAAAGGCTTGTTTCTGAAGTGCAAAGTGAACCAACTTAGGTCTTAAGTAAAGAGTGAGAGACCAAAGGTCTCTGAAACAAGATAGAAAGGGCAGAAACCTGTCGTTTAAGAGCAGTGAGAGCCAAATGCTGGTCCAGATCCAGCCATTTTCCTGCCTGCCATAACTATGTTTGTTTTTAATTTTTTGGCCAGCAGCAGGACAATTTTAAAAGACTAGGTCCAATTTACTAAAGGCAAAGAGCACAGGCTGGGCCTTTACTACACGAGTAGTGTACAAATGGGAAACAGGAGCCCATTATTCAGCGATAACCTGTGTCTGCCTACATTTCTTTTTATCTATGGCTATATGGGGGTGCAGTAATTTGTATAATAATGATACAATGTGAGGTGGATTTAGTACACACTGTTCTTGCACTATTTATTTTTATTTTAAACAATGCAATGGGAAAACCCCAACTAATTACAAAAAAGCTAAGGTGTTGACAGTTGAAGAGCTAAATACCAGTAATTTGCTTTAGACAGATATTGGTCCTTTAAAAGGAGTTTTGTGTGTACAGATCTGACCACACAGGCAGAGCGCATAAAAAAAACACTCCCTAGCATTGCAATTCACAGAACGTAAGCATAGTTTGTTAAAGTAGATGTAAATCCAACCACTAAAATGTAATATAAGATTAAACATTTAGTGATACTAAGGACCTCATTTGGCCACATTTGTGTTATGATTGGACAATGCTCTGCCCATTTCTCTCACAAACTAAGCATGCAGCCTGTTATCACTGTAGTTCTTGTGCACAGGGACAGGATGTAAAGAGATTGTCAAAAAAAAATCAGTTGCAGACAACAATTGGGAAATATTCCCTGTGAAAAAACACATGTACCCTGTTATCAGTTTAATGCATGTGGACAGGGACAGACTAAAAAATCAACTGCAGCCAGCAAAACTTAGGAACTAGAGCCTATTAGGACTGTAAGCATATGGACAGCATGCTAGGCAGCATTCTGATGTAAAAATCATTCCCTCCCCCACCCCCAAATTCCACACGATAGACAGCATTTTGTTACCTACATGTAATTTTATTTAGGGTTTACATCTTCTTTGGAACTACTGACAATAAGCACTACACTAATTTGTTCAGTTGCACTTCCTATGCTTTCCCCATCACAGCTAAGTACATTTTCAATATTATTGCTGGAAATCCAACATCGTATAGTGGCAGGCTTGTCCAAACACCCCATCTGACCCAAGTTCAAAGACCAGGAAGCGCATTATTGATAGTTGGTTGCTATGACTGCAAAATTGTACATAAGTTCGCCGGGTTCCTGAAACGTGCTGGGCTAGGTTCGCTTCAAACCCATGTTAGTTATGAACTCGAATCTCTTCCCTAATGGTGACCCACAGGTTGTTTGCTTGTATCTTCTGACCTCTGGGAGAAAACTGATAGCTGGTGCCTATGAGTTGTAGGATTGTCTCCACGTCTTCACTGTACAGTTTTCATGAATCTTGCCTATTTCCAAGTTATGTCAATGTAGATGATAAGTGTTGGAATTGATGCTGACATTAATGTTTTGCTTCTCTATATAAATACAGAAGTTCACAATATGCTGGATGCCCTGCTGCCACCAGACACCTACTTCCGTTTCAATCCGGTCATGAATGAAGATGTACCACTGGACGAAAACCGCAAGGAAAAGCTTAAACAACTACAGTTAGACGGCCAAAGTTATCTAGAGCGAAATGAAGAGAAACTTAAAAAAGCTGCCAAGGTGCTGAAACAAGAAAGAACAACATTTCAGTATATTTGTGACTGGGTTAAATTAAAAGGAGATATGTATGAGGGCCTGCCACTCTTTTCTAAGCTCTAAATTTTCATCAGTAAAAATGATGTTTGTCAAAGAAGCTATTACCTAGTTTCATATCCACGTGCATACAGAACTAACTAATAGGGTCTGTAATATACCACATTACCAGTGTGCTGTTTACATAATCTCTGGTTGGCAGAAGGTAAAGGGATCGCTGTGCAAATTACTGTAATTGCTAATGTCCAGATTAAATTTGCAGGGAAGGATCATTACTCCATTTAAAGAACATTTTCCATTGGTGGACACTCTGTTTCAGAGAAAATAGGTGTATATATTGTAAATACTGACTAGCTGACTTTTATTATATTTTTATTGATCCATTGGACTTGTGCAGCTTTATACATAACTATTTATTTAAAACCTGCTATTGATTCCTTTATGCGTGCGTTGAGCGTTTGAGTAATTATCAAGTAAAAGACCATTCTTGGAAATTCCGTCCTCACTTTTACTACTACTTTTTAAGCACAAAGTGGGGAGAGAAGCATTGAAGACTCCATCCTAATGCAGTCCTTTCATCTTCTAGGAAAGAACTTGAAAGTGATAAACACCCATCTTATGCAGTTGTTGTTTTTCTAAAAAACAAAATATATAAAAATTTAGCTTATGCTCCAGATCATTCCTTCTGTCCAATCAGTTTGGATGAGGGCTGTTCAAAAGGGAGCCATCCAGCCTACCTGTATCATAAAGTGTCCACTAACTCACTGGAGAGTCACCTGTACTTTGCTTAGTAAAATGGCTGGCACTTTCTGTATGTAAACCACTGGACAGTCTGCTTTGTTGTATATACCTTTGCACCTTTTCTACTGTTTATATGCTTTTTAATGCATGCAAACAGCAAAGTGCAGTAAATTTTATTATTGCAAATAGTCTTGTTCTCATGCCTATATTTTTTATGTATGCTGGCCCAAACTGGGTTTTTAAAATCAACTGCATGCAACCTGATGTGGAAACATACAAAAATGTACATATGAGGATATTTTGAGTTTCTTCTGCATTTGGTCTCGGCTTTCATGGTTGCTCTGGGTTACAACTCTTCATGCATTGCATTTTTGCCTTTTGATTAAAACTGCTTCTGTTCAGCCTAATTTCTGGTGTGTTGGCGTGACAGGGGGCAGAGCAGCATTTTTATACAGTTGTACATTATCGATCTTAAATTTTCAAATTACTGTATGTTAAATGTTAATTTCCAGCCGCAAAGGTCCAGCTTAATGCACAAATAAATTGCACACATACTATATTCTCTGTAGATGTGATATATTTTTCACCAACAAGTGCTATATGTCTGCACATTTAAGTACTGATATAAGCCAGTTATTTAAGTTCCATTTTAATTTTTTGTTTGCAAAATGAGAGGGAATAACATTAATTTTTGGATGTGCTATTTCACAAATATTCCTCTATTTCACTGCCTAACCAGACTATTGTTTCCTGTAAAATGAAAAATATATTTTCACGTATTGTATATCTTTGGTTTGATGACTAATCCAAAGACTGTGCCTCTAACATGCATGCATGCTAATCTTTCTAGTGTATTCAATGTAGATAGCGTCAATTATTATCCTTTCCCAGAATTTAACCTGCCTAACTCTCTGAATATAACATTTAATACTTGTTGGTCTCTAAAGCAACCTTATATTGACTAGGCTGTCCTACCACTTCACAGTGTTACCAGGTACAGATGTCGCTACCAGTAATCTGCAAATAGCACAACAGTTGAGTTAGACCTGACAGCCATTTTAAACTGTAAAGGTCTTCCCTAAGGCAGAAGCTATTAGGTGCACTTGCTATTTACTAAGGTGTTCTCATCGGACATACTGTTTTTTTTTATAGCGGTCTTGGGTCCTGTCTGGTGATGTCACATGTCTTTTATCACCCTCTTTCTCCAGTGGTGTATGGATCCTAAATTGTACATAGAGCGGTGCTATGTAATGATGTGGCGCTGCTCTCTGCAGCATTCTCCTTTGACTCCAGGGTGGGGGGCGGAGGCTTGACACCCTGGATTTACTGGAAGTGGGTTGAATGACCCTGGGCATCATTTAACCAGAAAGAGGGGAGGGGTACTACATTGCTGAATCGGTGAATCAGAGATCACCAGTGATTGGGATTGCTTGCCATGTGCAACACTCAAATTCTTTCAGATCCAACTTTTAAATTATAACTCAACTCCAGGCAGATATACAAAAATAATGCAGCCCTGTAATGATTAATACAATATTATTATTTTTTTAAATTCAAGCGTGTAAGTACTTGAATTTGAATTGTTATCAGCCTATTCCAGTACAGCCTAGCTCAGAAAGGGGAAGGGAGAAGCAGCACAAGGAGCCAATCGGACATGCTGCACTACAGGAAGCATGCTGATAGGAGAAGATAGGCTCGTCTCTCTGTCCTTCTGCTATCAGTCTGCTGCTACTCTTTTCATTGTCTAGTCACAGAATGGGAGTAGGGAGGGCTCCTGTAAGTGAAAGAAAAGAAAGATCAGGGCTCCATCCCTGCTAGACAGGGCTGTGCTGTGGGGAAGAGCTGTGTAAATCTCAGGACTGGGTAGACAGAGATGCAAATCCTTTGGCAGGTAAAACTGCCTGGAGTTCAGCTTTAAGTGTTTTGGCAAAGTATTACAAATTTCAGATTCCTTTAATTGGTTTACTGTGTTTTATGAATTTGCCCTCAAACCATTTCTTCCAATAATTATTAGTATTTTTGTATTTGTATGCAATTTTTACCCTGTGCCATTTTATGATGCACATTATAGGGCACACGTATGATTTTCTTGCTCTGACTGTTCTCGTTTTCATATGTGGAATCTGTACCTAGCAGCGCTTGTTAACGCCATGTCAGTTAAGCTGCAATTTTCTGCACACCACTACATGTGTATTGTGTGAACTGGGCACATAGAAAACATGGAGTGAATAAACTCTAATCTCTACAGGCATTTACTACTGCTGATAGGAAGACGTTTCACTGCCATTTCTAAACATGAAAAAGGAAATCTATAAATTCCTCGGCTCCTATTGCTGTATATGTTAAATGCTAATAGCATGACGTATCAAGCTTGCTAACCCTTGTGAGGGGTTCCTTGTGGGCAGAAGATTTGATTTCTGGTTGACCGCTTCATTGGCACTTCACTGATTTTCAGTTGAAGCAATCTGGTCATACAGATTAGTTTTTTTTCCACAGACAATTGTATTCAAATCTGGGATCACCTGAGCCTGTATTGATGTCTTTTGAGACTGCATGAATAACATACACAGATAGCTCCAGCACTGGGGAAAACAATATTAATAGTCTCAAATTATCCAACACGGCTGATGTCTTTTTCCCCCCTGAAATCTGTCAGCTGGGTTTCTCGGGTTTGAAGGTGGCTGTAAATGTGAGGATCATCATCATCGAAAATGGATCACTGGGTGACATTCATCATATGTATATGCTAACTTTAACGCCGCTTACTAAATCCACAACTTAATACAATGAGATAAACCATAGTGTTTTATTAACAGTTTTTACTTTGGCTTTATTGCTGGTTGCCCTTGACTTTATTTCTATGGCAGTGTAAATTCTCATATTAAATATTGTCTATGGGTTCAATAAAATGGAAACTGATTTACTAGAAGCATGTAGCACAGTGTTTACAATTTTATTATTGATTCCCTACCTTATATTTGCCATGGATTGTTTTTTTTAATGTTTTATTACAGTCAATCGGACGGAGCACTTTTAGCATTCCACATACCCAGGTGTGAATATACCACCTTTTAGGCATGACCAGTTGGAATGAAGTTGATTAAATCTCTTAAAAGGCATAATCATTTGCTCTAGAGCAGCCTATGCCAACCAGGGTTCCTCCAGAGGTTGCTAAACATTCCTTGAGGAGAGAGCAGGGAAGACTGATCTCCTGCCTGCAATGATATCCGCAGTCACCAATGTAAGCAGTCTTTTCTAAACAAGCTGCAGATATAAACATTTTAGTTAAAGGTTTCCTGAGACCTGCAAATGATTTCAAGGTTTCCTCCATGGTAAACATGTTGAGAGACTGCCTTAGATTTACACAGAATAAGCTTACATTTATAGCCAGAGACCTAAGCTTGTCTGCTTATCCAGGTGCTGCCTATACCTTTGCTAACACAAGTGGATCAAAAATGTTGATCATAATGATGTTACTTTATTCTGTATTATTGTCAAATGGATGTGTACTGACGAATTTACCTGTCAAACCCTGATGTCACCAGGACAGGAAGTGAAGGTAATTTTCTCTGTTGGGGTGCTGATGGCAATAAAATCATGACAGGGACACTTGTCCACTCTACTTGAAGAGCTGTTTTTTATGCTGTTTGTGCCTCCTTATGCAACTCCGAAACCAGATGTTTGTTGGTTGGAGTTCAAGTTTAAAGTGATAGCCATACCACTGTACATTTTTTATATAGCTTAATCTGAAGACTGTCCTTTCTCTAAAAATACTAGTTATCTGGCTTTCTCTGTCTTCATTGTATTTAAGTCACTCATGTGGATAAAAAGAGATCCAGGTGAATTCAGAACTGCTAATTTGCACACACATTCTGGGTCGCTGACAAACTTGCACCTAGTATTTTCAGAAAAGGTCAGCAGCGTTGGCTTACAGTATGTATTGCTGTCAGTAGAAGTTTCCTTTAAAGAAGAAAGCCTAATAGACTGCCTACAACATAGAACCTAAACTTAGTTTTCGGAATATGGCAAGCCTTTCTGTCCCTATGCTTCTGTTACTCAGACACATGGAAAATTCAAGACATAGGGCCAGCATGTGGCCACAACTTCTTAGTATGCCATAGATCTCTTCTCCTAAGCTACAGAAAGAGCATTCTTTAATTTTGTTTGTGTCAGCGATGCTGTCCATCCTCATGTTGGTGGGGAGGTGGCAGGCACAAAGTTGCTTCAGGATCTCAAGTCCTGGAATGAGCTGGTTTTACATCACTAATAAAGTAAGTAGATGTGGTAATCTGTTGTTTACTGCTATTAAGAATGGTTTCAGGGCTATGCACGTATCTTCCTTTGAAACCTTTGGATGGGAAGGAGTCAGTAGAGCAGGATTAAAGGGTTATTTCACCTTTCATTTTTTTTTTTTTAATCCATATACATTACCGCATACACTGTTAGCCAAGTTGGCTTGGCTAACCACGCATGTGCATTCTGCTTTCTCTCTCACCTGCAGAATGCTGAGCTCAGCTGTGAGACGAAGTGGATTGCACATGTGTGGTTAAGCAAGCCGCGCATCCAGTGGTTGGTCTATCCTGCTATGCAGGCAGGACGGAGAGGGGGAGCCCACAGGAGCAGCAATAAGAAAAGTAAGAATTATGTTTAAAAATGGAGGGCAGTTTTCTAACTTGCAATTAAAGCTGTAATGTATATAGATTTGGAAAAAAAACCTTTTATATTCAGCCCCTGGTCTGAGTCAAATTCTCAGCTTCTTAACAAAAGAACACTGAGCTGATCAGTGTGAATAAATGGCATCTATATATAGCATATCAGTTAGAGCTTGTTCAAACAAACCAGTGGCCATGCTCAACCACACGGCTGTTGGTGTGCGTGTGCCTGGACAGTGCAGATACACTTAATCAAGCCACATTGCACTGTTTCTATTGTTTTGGAACTTAATTGAAATGACACAAGTGACATTTCATTAGGTTCTATGGGCACACTGCAGTGCGATGCGGTTGTACCACGTCTCACTGCGGTGCGCTTCAAAATAATTTGGTACTGAAGAGCTATTCATTCTGCAAAACTGACGTTTACATTTGTTGTGTGAACATGGCAAACTAATGTTTTCCAATGCAGGACAAATGTTGGAAAATACCACATTATGGCCACTAGATGGAACCGAGGAGAGTAGGAAAGAAATACTTATTTCCTTGGCCATAATGTGGTATTTTCCGACAAT